TCTGGCTGGAAATGAGGGGTATTTACACAGGAGACATGAAGAGTGCCTCATTCTGGGTTTTTTTTTGTAGAAAGGAAATACATTAACTTCTGATGCCTGTTCTCAGGCCCTGACAACTGGTTTAATTTTAACCACAGATTCCTACTAATCTATGTTCAAAATGGCAACGTTTACATTAAGGAAATTCTATTGGCCAGAGAAGGATTTGGGTGCAGAGATGCTGACCTCACAAATACAGACAGACCAATCAAGCAACATTATGATAAAGTGTTTATTCATTTTTCATTTTTTTTTTAAATATCAAATTTTTTTTACACATCAATTTTGTTGATAAACAGTCCCCCAATATTAAAAAAAAAAAAAAAAAAAAAAAAAAACAAAAATTAAAATAAAAAAAAAAAAGAATCAAGTGTGTATTACTTTGGGCAGAACCACATCCCATTCTCTGATGACACAACCGCTCCTCCCTTCAGCCACCTGCGAGGACAACCGCAGAACGTTCAGCCCAAAAGAGTAAATGACACAAATGCAACCAGCTTTAGGATTCCTGAGTATTGATTCCCTCAAGTTCCTTATATGAGTTTGTAAAATTCTTAAGCTAAAAAAGCATCAGTCAAAGAGTAACCCAAACCACTATGCATTTGGATCACGGACTAAGCTACGTCTACACAGTGCAGGAAGAAATCTCTTGAATGCTTCAGAAGGGAATGATGCACACGAAACCCACCCCATTTCCCAAGCTGACTTCCGAGAGAGGCAGGTAAAATACCTCTTGATTTCTCCTCTTTGAATTCACGTTAAGAGTTCTGGGGAGCTGTTTGGCAAGGAGTCCAAGTCTGGTGAAGAAACCTCTAGGATCTGTTTTCCTCCTTTGATTCAAAAATGGCATAGTGTTTTAAAGAAAACTTATCTGGAAGTTAAACATTCAGCAAGTACGCTTAAATATTGCTACTTTTGAGGAAAGGAGACGGCAAGAGGGAGAGACAAAGACAGGAAGAAGGGAACATATCTAGGAGGTACAACGTTAACAGTCCTGGAGACCAAGTGTCTAGGTAGAAAGTCAAACATACGTAGCAACAAGGCAGAGATTGTCACGATAACGCAGCGTAGCTCGGCTCTGTCCTGCAGCAGGTAAACACACCAGGGACCGTCACCAGGAAATCATTTCCTCCTCTTTGTCAGAATTCTCTGTGCCCAGCAGCTTTCAGATGTTGACATTTCACTAAACGTCACCTCTAAACTCACCTAGAGCCTCGTGTACAGAAACACACGTGCAGCGAGAGGCCGAGTAAATTCCTTCAGCATCTTTAAGGAAAATAATACATCCCAGAAACCAAACAGCGAAGTACGTGACCACAGTGGCTTCAGGAAACACCCAGAAACCCCACAAAGGTCCCCACAAGCGCTGGCATCTTTATGAAGCAGCTTCCAAGAGTTGCTTTATTCTCCAGAGATGGACTTTTTTCATACTGAAATAATTTTGCTGAGCTGATGTGACATTAGTACATTGGAACAGTGATCAGTGAGGAGGGGAAGAGAAGAGAGTGAAGAGCCTTATTTTAGGCCAGGGTACATGGCTCCTTGGAAACCTGAACAGCTTTTGGCCTTGACTTTATCCCCCAACAAGCAGTCTGCCCACCCTGCTTAATTAGAAATATTCCCACTTTATGAGCCAGGTAAGCAGAGACCAGGTAAGGGATTGCTAAAGGCTGAGCAAAGGATGTGTGCACACAGCAGGGAGGACACACATGCACGTTAAAACAGAAGACAACTTTTAGACAGCGTTTGCTAAATACATCTTCTATTACATTTTATTTGAACCTGAAATACTCACCACTGCCCAGATTTTTACCAACATCAATCTTGCTCCTAAAAAAAATTATTCTCTTAATTTAGCAGCATGTAGCTATTCACTCAAAGCAAGGCTCTGAAATTAAAGAGATTTAAATCACCAGGCTTGGACCAACTTGATAAAATAGTTTTACAAGTATTTATCAGTTGGGGGTGGGTCAGGTTTTGTTTCTAGCAGTTCAGAGAAAAGTCCCCCAGGAAATTCTAGCACTATTGATAAATGCTTCAGTACAGCTTTGGCAGAAGGACAGATTTCAACATTTCTATTTGACAAAGAATAAAACTGAGCATTGAAGCAAGTTGGCTGATGCTCTAAAGCTTTTCTAGCTTCTAGAAATTCTGTATATGCAGTCTAAGTAAACGTGGCCGTAAAACTAGAGCATTTAATTGGCCTTTTACTGGTGCAAAGCAGCAGTATTTTTGTCTAGCTATTAGCAATTGCTTCTAAAAACATAAAGTGTAAATATGAAAAGGGTCTAACATTGAATGGCTAACATCTGGTGCTTCAAAAAGCTGGCAGCAGATGAATCCACATGCTAAGGAGATGCAAATTCATCTCTCATGCATCCAAGAGGACCAATCTGCAGCTGGTATCTGCATACCAGGTGGGGGCTTATTCCCAGGACCACCTCACTGAGACCCTGTGGTGTGAACTGGGAGCAGATTCACCTGTTTAGACTGAGGATACTCTGGATCTGAGAGCTGGGAGCTTCAGTCTTGTTGCTGCTTTTGATAGTGAACCAGATGCAGATGGGAATGGGCTCTAATATATCTTATTCCTAAAGCCAGAGGGAGATCTGATGACGCTGTACTGTACAAACCAAAGTGTTTTACCCTTTTTTGCTGATTTTGAGGTGCTCATTGCAAGGAGAATATTTTAAAAACTTCAGCAGGGGTAACACTGATCACCTGCCTGGTCAGGATCATAAAGCTGTAGTCTTGTAACTCATTTTGAACAAAGCTTCAAGTGAATTAGTCGATGCTGCTCCAGCAAAGTGTCCCCAAACAGCCAAGCACTTCTTCCTACACACGCACGGAGCGATGTTGGTGTCACAGGTAGTGGGATATGAGCTCAACGTGTCTGGGAGCACCAGGCCTAGCTACGTTCACAGCTCATGCAGAAGCTTCACTCGACAGAGGAATGCTTTAAAGCTCTTCATTATTCTAAAGGATCTCCTGGCTGCCCAAGTGTCTTAAGAAAAATCTGACAACAACTACTGCTGACTGACATCAGAAACTCCTGCAAGTTCACAGATGAAACCAAATTTCGAGTTGTTTTTCACTGCCATCCTGCATGGTAAAAGCCTAGCACGCACCAGGCAAACCTAAGCAACAGGGAAAACAAAACACCAGGAACAGAGGCCTGAGACAATGATAACAACAAATAAAAGCCACGAACAAAACCATGTTTCCAGCTGCTGCTGACCCATCACTTCAGGTTTAGCTCAAAGCAGAAAGTTCAAGATGAACAACACTTAACACAAAGCCACTTTGGAGATTTGCAAGTGAAACTAAGTCAAAATTCCTACTTAAAATTTGGTATCATGGTTCAGCCACGCTTTCCTTCCCCTTCCCCAGCCCCAGCAATGTTTTGGGGCTCTGCAGAGCATCACCAAGTAGTTCATCCCCAAAAAATTATAATTAAAAAAAAAAAAGCATCTGGAAAGAGCTTCCTCCAGCAGAGCCTCGGTGAGAGCTCCTCACACAGGCTACTCACCAGGGACTTCCCAGAAGGCCACGATGGTTTGAATGCAGAAGCCACGTCAGTGCATTTGTTTCACAGACCCTATTGGGGAGCCCTCGCTCTTTCAGAGGTATTAAATTAGTACCCCACCAGCTACTACAGGATTTCCACAGCAGAGAGGCTGATCATCCCCAAACATCCCGATAAAACTAGTGCAAAGCAGATTTTTTTCATTTTTTTCTGATCACACCCCTGCTCGGTGCATAGAAGATGCATCCACTGCTACAGTTTGTTCTTCCAGGGGCAGAGGGAGATTAAGAGCCATAACACACGGTTGGTTTGTTAAATAATTTAAGGTTTTGCCTTCCAAGTGGTTGAGTTTGTTCTTTTGTATGGGGGGAAAACATGATTTGGGCAAGGCTAAGAAAGAAAAAAGTAAAATAGAATCCCAGACTGGTTTGGGTTGGAAGGGACCTTAAAGCTCATCCAGTCCCAACCCCCCTGCCAGCAGCAGGGACACCTTCCACTAGACCAGGTTGCTCAAAGCCTCATCCAACCTGGCCTTCAACACTTCCAGGGAGGGGGCATCTACAACTTCCTTGGGCAACCTGTTCCAGTGTCTCACCACCCTCACAGTGAAGGTGGCCAGATACTAAGTAAAATACTCCTTTTCTCTCCCCCCCCATCACCTACAATTAATACCAGCACATCTTCAAATAAATTAAAACATCTCTTAAGTTTTGGTAGCACCAAATTCTATCCCTTCCCTTCTATCCCCACGTTGTAAACTCGAACGCACTGACCCAAGAGCACAAAAACAGTTTGGCAAAAAAAGAAGCCATCAGCCTTCCCCGTGCACACACACAAATACACGCTGCCAAAAAAAATCCCCTCCACCCCTCAACTCCTCTTACAAAGTGTGACACGTCCGTGGGCATCTACATACCTTTAGTAGCTGCCATAATAATTTCATCAGTGTCACAAAGATGCTTGAGTTACAAAGCAGAGGAAAGCTAAAATAAATCCACCGAGTCCGTTTGGACCAGCGCTGTTTGGCGTCGGCGTCGTACCGAACTCGGTGTGTCCCTCCCGTGTCCTGTGCACGCGCACACACGCTCAATTCACTTCACAATCTGCTTTGTGGGCGGTGATCTTAATGGCTTCTGCTTTTTATTCGTTAACATTGGAGCTTATTCTTCAAATTGTACATTTTAAATAAAAAAAACCCCATGAATGTTAATCCGGTATGCGTAATTAAAAGCTAAAAATCCTGTCCACACAACGCTAGGACGTTTTTCTTTCTTTGAAAAGGCCAAATCTAACAAGTGAAACAGAAGAGACAAGTTACTTTGGCTGCAAATAATTCAAAGAATCTGGCTCAACATTCTACTTGTACATGACAGTGTCAGAATTTAGAGATGTCTTTTGAAAGAAAAGACACCCCAGTCAGCTACCTCTTCCGTAGTTACATAGGAACAACGATATTCTTGGCCAGCAAAATGAGAAGAGCAAGATCTGTGTTTCCATCTGCTTGTTCCAAAGCCTCAAGAGCTTCCCGCGTGGTAAAACCAGCGCCGAGGATTCGATCAACATCAGCCGCAGGGAAAGCGGGCGGTGGAGAAGCACCTGAGGCAAGCCCAGTATAGCCAGTTGGTGGGCTCAGCACTGGTTCTTCACACCCACCCAACAGCCACGGACCTTCAGGAGCAGAACTGTTGCTTCTTACAGGTGCTCCTGTCAACAGGCTCCGTGTGTCTTGAGGTGCATCTTCATCCGATGCATTCTGCTCCGAAGCCAGACTAGTTGGACTCTGATCACCTCCTGGCAAAACCTCGGCCTGCTCAGAGCTCTGTTGTTGGTCAGATGTCGCTGTGGAGTCCACCACGACTAAATCACTCTGACCTGAAAACTCCTGACTCTCTAAAGCACCTTCTCCGAGAGCTGACTGCACGTGACTGACAGAACCGACGCTCATGGTTTCTAGGCCAGAATCACAAGGCTGTTTCCCTTCTGCTCTTCCACCTTCAGACCTCACCTCACAGAAGGAACAACCCTGTTCCTGGCTGACTGGATCGGAACCTTTTTGCTCATCATCTGAAAGCCCCTTCTGTTGTGCTGCTGGCTCTTTGCGAACCACGTCCAGCTGAGAGACTTCTTCAGAAGCAAGGATTTTACATTCTCCTTTCCGACTGATAATCAAGAGTTTGTGCAGCTCTTTCAAGGCTGATGCTAGAGAGAAACATGGCTCTTCTGAAGGCCTTCCTGGCTCCATCTCCAGCTGATGGATGCTGGAGAGAGAAGAGCTGTCTTCAGCTGCCAAATTAGACAACTTGTTATACTTTGCAGGAATTTCACTAGTGCTTTTAGAGTGAGGGACATCACCGGTGGAAAGGGGATCATTCAAGGAGGATGCAGACTTCAGCGACTCCACCTCCATAGAAAACGTGTCTGAGTTTGGGTCAGACACACTTCTGTTCTCAGCCTGATGCTTCTGGTCGCTTGCTGAGCTGTGTTCCTCAGCTACAGACTGCTCAACTACATCTACTTCCATGAACGCTTCTGTATGCACACAGCTATGGGAGGCTGATATTTGGATACTCCCTTTCACACAGGGAAGACCTGCTTTCTCCTGTCCACCTCTTCTCGTTTCCACAAGAGGATTTTCTGGCTGGCTGGCTTCTTCCACAACAGGTTTCTCAATCCCAACAACATGGCAAGGAGGTTTTGGGTCAGTTGTCTCAATTTGTTTCTCCAGCTGTTCCTTCTCTGGTTCTCTGCACGTCTGATGGTCTATGGGAAGCTCATGTTTTCGCTCCTGTTCTGAAGACAGACATCTATCTTTATTTTGCCTGTGCTCAGCAGCAGTGTCAGCCAAACTATTTTCTTTTATCACTTCCAAAGGATGTTCCTGACCAGGGTCTTGTTCTTTAGCGTTACATTCCTTTAGACTGTCAGCAAGAAATGTTTCTTTGAGTGTCTTCTGTGAAAGGCAAGCTGGATCGCAACAGGTTACCTCCCCTCTTTGGGGAGAAGGGTCGTTATTTGCCAAGGAAGCATTATTGGAAAGATGTTGTAATAAGAGAGGATGTTCTTTTTCTGGGGTGATCTGGCATTCAGTTGAAGACTCAAAAGACTTGACGGGTCTAGGATCAATGGGCTCTGCGAGGCTAGATTTGGATGAGCAAATTGAAGCAGGGGCAGAGACAGAACGATCAAGTAATTGATTTGTGGGATTACAGATCTTGGAATTTAGTCCTGAAGACTGGAATGGATTTTGAAACCCATCAGAAGCTGGTAATGAGGGCATTTCCAGTGAGGTAGTTTCTTTGTCACTATTCTCTAACAGAAGACAGAAAGAAAGAAGAAGTTAGGACACACGAGAACCACCCATTTCACCATAGCAGTGAAAACTTCAAAACCAATGGCCATAAATACCTGGTCTGTGGCCCACTCCAGCTGCAGTAAACACACACTACATGCATCAAGGCTTCTGACGTTCTGTTTGGATTAGGAAACAAACACACCAAACTTGTGTTAGCATTCAGAGCACACCACATGCATGGTTTTAGTCCTGTGACCTCGCAGCTCCCCTCCCGACTGTCCCTCAAGACAGCATGTAAGCAACAGGAGCTCCTCACGTTCTCTGCTTTCCAGAAGGAGTTCTGCCTGGGAGATTTGTTATGTCAAGTCAAAAATAACTCTGCTGGAGAACAATTTAAAGGCTGTTCTGTACTATCTACGCTGCAGAGTGGTTTGTGGGTGATACTACATGCTTGATCAAACATAGGCAGCACAAGGCACATGTCTAGCGCCGTCCTGGTTGGTTCTCCATACAGCTGAAGATACTCAGGAGCCACATTTCAGGGAAATGAGAATTGAGATGGCACCACAGTTCACAGACTGTGTTCCAAGCAGCTATTGCATTGTGATGGCTACTGCCACTGCAGGCAAGAGGAGATGAGCAAAGAGCAGCTTGCTACAAAGGGAAAGCGTAAAGATCTTAGAGTGAAAGGCAGAGATTCCCAAAAGGAACTGCTGCCAAAGGTTGGGAAGAGCAAAGCAAAGGCAGAAACAGCCACAAGTCAAACCCAGCTCAGTTTCCTTCACACAGAGAAAGGCTGAATTGCAGATCTCTATCAAACACTGGGTCTCGTTATCAGGACAGATTAAATAAGTGAACTTATCTTGCTAACAGTCTAATCTTGCTAATGTACCAGCTCTCACGCTCTCGTTAAATCACTAACATGCCCTTTGCTGTAAGAGCTCCTGTTCTTCCATTAAAGCCCTGCTCTGTCCAGCATCAGATATCCAAACAGCGACCCAGATTCTGGGCTGCATGATTTGTTGTATTAGTTCCCTTTCCCTTCCCAGATGCCTCTAAAATCAGTGCTCTTAAACATAAACCGCTGTTTTACCTCAAGTCTTTCTCTTTTTACAGATACCCAGGTTACCTGGGGGACAGCTAACCATGCTCACATGTACACCTAGGATCTCCTTTAAGTTCCACACCATGGATGAAATTTGCCTTTTTCACCTCAGCTACTTGTTTCTTTTCCATTTATTTCTGCCATTAAATAAAAATGGTGCACGACATGTTGCGATACCGCACCCCTGATGGAGGGATGCACTCAGGTATAACATACAGCAGCCGTTCCACAGAGCTGCTGGCTGCACATCTGGGTTTAATGCAGCAACATCAACTTGGCAATGCTGGAATATTAAAAAGCCAGAATTATCCTGCAGATTTTCAGATTGCTCATCTTTCCTAAGGGTGGCAAAGAGGCTTGTGACACAGGACACGGATGAAAACCAGAGGGATCTTTTTCTGATTCTACGTGGTAGGGTTGAGTTCACGGTCTCTGCTCCCAAGCCAATCCTTTAGAGAGGAAGCAGAAGTGTCTTTTGACTCTGTGGATGGGTAATAAGGGTCTGATCAGTCAAACACATCAGGGATCTGCAGTCATTTAACCAGCAGAAGTTACTGGTATTCTTCCAAGCACTCCTCAGCATCATCCTTCCAAGACTCACTGTCATCATCCTCCTGGGGCATCTACAGGAGCTGAATCCCAGCCCCATCAAGGATATCGATCCAGCTAATGCTCAAAACAAACTCTTCTCCACAAAGTGCACCATCAGGGATAAATTCCTCTCTGTATTAGGAAAAGCCTGAGTTGCAGATGTGGTGGCAGCACCTTTCTGATATCGAGGCTGTCGGGATGAAAAGCTGTATATGGGGTAAGCTACCTGAATATCCTTCCTCCTAAAGCAGCTGTAGTTTTGCTGCCAGTTTTGTAAATCCTCCAGGATCACCAAGTTTCCAAGTGGTGAGAGGGAAAAAACACTGTGTACTGGCAGGAAAGAGGAAGCTCACAGACATAAATGAAGCAGATGTGGAGGATTTTCATCACAGTAAAACATACCAGGACTCCACTGCCACCTCGGCTGCCTTGATGTAGGTGTTGAAACACCAGCGAGTCAGCTGACAGAAATCAGGAGGTTTGCTAAAGTGGATTAAATAAAGCTCAAGAATAATCCAGGTACATTCAAAATGACAACTTTAATAACCTACAGAGGTACGCAGCGATTTCTGGTGAACCATCTACCAGAAGGCTGCAAACATTCAAGCTGTTATAAAAGAACACAGGCCTTGGGTGGAGCTGAGCTTCCTTGGTCCTGCATTATGTTCTCTCCCCCTCCAGTTTCCTGTTCTTTCACTTGGTTTTCCTGGTACCATCTAGCAGCAGCTAATAGTTTTAGAAGAGAAGAAGAGGGTTATACATTAATATTCTGATTTCTTAGGATACAGCTTGTGAGCAGAGGCTTGTAGTATGTCCAAGACTTTAAGAGTCCATCTAAACAAGACCTACCTTAGTTCTGTGCAGGGCTGTTCTACAAACACTAAATGGTTTTATGGATTTAGTGAATACACAAAATGGATTTCCTATTCTCATAAATCTTTTACATTCCTCTAGGGCTCAGCATCAACGGAAAACGGTGGACTGCTGCTTAGTCTGAACAAAGCCACGTGGTTTTTAGAACCCTGCTGGTACACAAGCAGCTTTCATTTAAGTCATTTTAGGCACTTGTCATTTTAAAGCACTTGACTAAAATGCTTTTATTGTAAAGACTCGTGTATTTTGGCCCAAAGTTTGCTTTTCATTTGAACTTTTCAGCAGAGAACCAAGTTCAACCAACGACGACGTCTGCAAAGTCTCATCTGAAATGGGGAGAGATTGCAAAAACCAACCCAGACTTCATCAGGCTCAAAGATTTAATGTGAATATAACTAATATTTACATCTGCAGGTTTTCTCTGCCAGGTTATGTGAAAAGCCAGACCTTTAGCTATGTCACAACCTGACAGGGACAAGGTCAAATCTATCTTTGTGTTTCTTTCCACTTGCTGCAACTTCATTTAATAAGTGTTCAAATTTGGCTTGAAAAGTCAAACTCGTAAGCCATTTCTTACTGATTCATTCAAGCCAGGCCTTCTGCTCGAGGCTTTTACATCTCCAGAAAACTTATATTCTTAGAATGGAAGAAAACTGGTCAAAGGGACCAATAAGTTCAGTCTCATGCTCTCCTTACTGTAAACTTTGTTATTTGCAAGAAAAATCACTGCTTATTCTTTGGACTATTTGGACTAAGCAGCAATTGGGAAGTGTTAAAGAAAAAATTCAGTGCATTACAACTGATTATATATATATATATAAAATATATATGGTTAAATTTGGTTACTCAATTTTTATATATTATATATATGGTTAAATTTGGTTATTCAATTTTTATATATTATATATATGGTTAAATTTGGTTATTCAATTTTTAATATGGGCATGCTAGAGTCTTAAAAAATTAGCAATAAAAATGTTGGAACTTTAGCAGCTTAAACACAACCCAGCAAAGAGTTTTGCATGTGTATGGGAAGCAGAATCTTAACTGTGTGTATTCAGAAGACAAATTAGCAGTAAAACTCAAAACTTTTCTATAAAACATTTGCATGTAAAATGTTATCTTTAAAAGTTGGGGAAAAGGTCTGAGGAAAATGCTTTGTGAGGTATTTACAGCTTCACTGTAATTGTGGGGGGAAAAATAAAATAATGAAGGTTTCCTTTAGTCAAAAGCATATGTTGGAGTTAAACAGAAAATGTGAGATTTGGACAGTTTGGCTCATAGCTCAGATTTCAGCTGTTTTGGCATCTCAACTAAATTCTGCAGCTACCAAAATCTTCCGTAGCCCAACCAGTCTGCATTTGTGCAGCTTATGGATTCCAGAGGAACAGGCAACAAAAACTGTGGAGAGGGTGAAAATTCTCTTTGCAGATCACATTTAAGGCTGATTCACACACGTTAGGATGTGAATTCAGCTGCTTCCCTTGAAATCTGGAGCAACGGTAACCTTCAGTAAGAGAAGCAAATTCACCTTCCAAGGGCACAAGCACCATTCTAAGGAAAAAAAAATGCTGAAACAGTACTATTTCTAAAAACTGTCATCGACTTTTGTCCAGAGATTTGTACTTCCTGCTACATCTCCTCTAATTTTATACACTGCAGCTATTAAGAACAGGGTTTGTGGAAGTCTCCACAAAGCTGTCCTGACACCAGGCTGCTAAAATATGACACAACCGAACCGTGGCCCTGACTGGGCGCTACAACTCGACCCAGGGGAACGGGTGCCAGGGACAATAATTTATCTCCACACCTTCAAAAGTCAAGAAATCAGAGCGGGTAGGAAGCTGCAAGGAGAACACAAATTAAGCAGCAAGCATGCTGCCTTCATGCAGACAGATTTTGCTGTGCAGAATGGAAAAGAGAAGCACAGTCAGAGGCCAAGAGCAAGACTAAGGCCCCTTTCTCTCCACCATTTACTCACTGATGCTGCATTAGACCCTCTCTCCAAGGAGAGGAGAAGGGGGACTGCTGACAAACATCCTGCTAAACCACAGGAAAACTATGAGGATTAATATTTCAACTCGGTTGCTCCTGGTACCTGCTTCCTCTACGGACTTCTGTATTGCTTCTGCTAGTTCCTGGTCTGCAATCTCCTCCGGCCGTATGTCTTCCCGCCCAGCCCCGTAAGCCAGCCGGGCACACTCCGGGAGCTCCCCCTCCGGGAGGAAAGTGGTCTGCGAGCCAGTCGTGCCAATCACTAGAACGTTCTTCTTGAGATCAATCGAACACTGTGAAAGAGCAGCGAGACATCAGGGGCCTGTGTAAGAGCCAGTCAGTTCCCAGAGAAGAAGGAGAAATGGGATTAAACAATCCATTTCCAATGGGAACAGCTCACAGCAGCCGAGCAAAGTGGGCCAAGAGCACCAGCTATGAGCAAAGGGCTCTGTATGACTTGATTTGTTCTGGAGAGAGTCCAGTGGAGGCCACAGAGATGATGAGGGGCTGGAGCATCTCCTGTGTGAGGAGAGGCTGAGAGAGCTGGGACTGTTCACCTGGAGAAGAGCAGCCTGAGAGGGGATCTGATCAATGTCTGTAAAGATCTGAAATGTGGGGGCCAAATGGATGGGGCCGGGCTCTTCTGGGTGGTGCCCAGTGACAGGACAAGGGGCAATGGGCACAAACTGGGACACCA